ACCTTTATTTTTCCTCTTGGCCCCATGTCTATTACGTTAAGGGATGTTGGGGCCTTGGTAAATTTACCACCTTTGGGCGAGACCATTTTCCCAGGCATCTTAGTTTCTGGTGGCGCCTCACAATTCGGTAAAAACTATACCGATTCTTATTCAAGCCTGCAGACACTCCACAATCATTCGAGTGCTGAGCCTACTCATGCCGAGCGAGTGGCCTTCCTTTTAGTTTGGCTTTGTAAGTATGTGTTGTGCGTGCCTAGTATAAAGCCCTCTCTGAGTTATCTACCTATAGCGCACGAACTGGCGCGTGGCGGGCTTTTGAACTTATGTTCTTTGTTTTTGGCTGCCCTTTATAGAGGTATGGCTTTTCTTCAGGCTCAATTGAAGAATGGTGCATCTCCTACTGGCAGTGGACCTCTTTGGTTCACTCAGCTGTGGTTGAGATCCTATTTTCCATCCTTGGTGCTCCATCCATTTCTCGTCCTTCTGCTGGCTGTTACGGGCTAGCTATGGGGCCTTTAACTCCTGTAAGTATGTCCAGAAGGGACATTTTTTCATTCTTTTATTCTTTAAATTCAATCTCTTCCTTCTTTCCTTTTCCTCCTTTTTTGACTCCGGACTATGTACATCCTCCTTCCACTCTAGATAGCACGAGCACTTCTCTGCTCATTTGGCTCCAGTTCTTAACTGGTAGGGAGCTTTTCCACGATATCTTAACTGGGACCAATGCTAAAGTTGGGGTAGAAATTTACGCTCCCCAATTTTTTGCTCGGCAGCTTGGTTTCGGCCAAACTTGGCCTGTTCCTCTTTGCTATTCGAAGAACTTAAACGACCGTTTTCATACCATTAATAAGGTGGAAGCAGAGGCTATAAACGCTCGCAACCTCCATTTATCAAGCCATTTTTCATTAGCCCCTTTTAATCCTTGTCATGCTACTCACCCTCTTTTCGAACAACTTTGGCCATCGGTGAAGCGCAGATTATTTGCGACTGAGGCCAATCGTGCCTTTCATTCATTAGACCAACCGAGTATTTCTTCTCCTCCTCCTATTTTGGTCACTCATTTGTCTATTCGAAACCCCTCTCCTTCTCGTCGTACTAAACAATCTGCTCGTCCATCTTCTTCTCTCCCTGCCAGGCCAACTATGGCCAAGAGTGCTCCAAGCCGCAAACGGCCAGCCTCAGCATCTCCCATTCTGGAGGATGATGTTGATGACGATGATGATGATGTCCCTCTTATCGTTGAGAGGAAGGTAATTAAATTGGTCTATTTACAAGTATGCTCTTCCCCATTTGAAATTTTTCTGTGTACTGATAATCTTTTGGACTTTTCAGAAAAGCTCAGCTTCCCCTTCAAAGGCTTTGGTATTACCAACTCCTGCTCCATCATCCTCTGTTGAGGCTACTTCATCCAAACCGGTTGATGATGGGACCATGCTTAAAGGTATATCTTCAGTCCCAGATTCTTCATCACCACCCATGAATGAGCCACCTTCCTCCCAGGGCGTCGACCCCCCAATCACCGAAGCAGAAGGTAATTCAGTTTTTGATGTCTTACCTTTGCTCGTGCTATTGGTTTCTGACTGGTTGCTCTTTGAACTTTGCAGATACTCATATGAGTCCGCCCGTTGTGGCAACGTCTTCTCGCTC